TACAACCTTAAATATGCAATCTCCTTCCAAATAGGTCAACTTCAAATCATATTTTTTTCAGCTATCACTCATTCAAGAGAGATACAGACTCTCTCTCAGTGTGAAACTTTTTTTTGAAACATACTCGAGTCCTTGTCTGGGTAAACTGAGATACTTCCCTTTGATGTAATCAGCCATTGTTTGGGGTTGACACCTCTACTCAAGTACCCCTTTTTGGGAGTTATGCTACGTATCTGGCTGATCAACAATCATTCCAAATATATATTCTAGAGATTGGGTTTCTGTTGGATGTATGAATATCTATGGTCTGGTGTGAGACATTCCTGACACTTCATCTAGAAATTACTTCCCTGCTGTTATATGTTTCAAGTCATATAAAAATACAGAAATACATTCATATGAAAAACATGCAAACAAAAAATGATAAAACCAAATATATTAGTTATAGACTGAAATCAAACATCACAGTAGTAAATCCAAATCAAAGAAATATCTATGTATGACACATTGTGCATTTCTAAAGGGTACATAATGCCCCCAAAATCAATATTGCATTTGGATGTATCCATGACAGTTGGTCAAACATTCTCTCAAGGAACTGAAATGTATGTCAAGTGTGTGAATTTCAAAAGGTGTAAGGGGGAAACTTTTGCAAAAGTCAAATGGAGTTTCACACTTTAAACTCACACATGAAACTCAATTTTCCTGTTGTTGAAGTTGATGCACACAGAGCGCTTAGTGTTATTCTTGCAAGAGTCATCTGTCACACGTGATTTTGGTATTCTGAAAAAATCATAAATATTTTTCCATAAAAATGAACATGAGAATGTTACTCAAAAGAAAAGTTCTAGGAAAGTCTGACAATTTCCTTGAATAAAGATCCAGCAATTTGCACCACATTATACTACACACACATACTGACTGACGAACTAAAACCCTGTTCTTCTGTTATTATAAATTCAGATAAATCCATTGAAACCAGTGTATGTGTGTGTGTTTATATATATATATATATATATATATATATATATATATAAAACAACAAGAGGGGCAGAGTGCTCCTGCATGCTGTAGGATAGGAAATATTTCAAAATATTTAGTATACCCTTTCTTCCTGACAGAGTGAAACTTGTAATGTAATACTGCCCTTTGAGATCCAAGTTTAATATGGATTAGACAAAAAATGTATGAAAAGTAAATCCATGTGGTTAAAACAATGTTAATGGAAGATGCAGCTTTAATACAAAACAGTTTTGGTATCTTTTTCCAGAATATTTAAGTATCAATCAAAAAGAAATGTTCAGTGTCGTATTTACAATTTATATCCATGCAGCTTCCTTTAGAAATCAGTAAAAAAACCCAGGTGACAATATTAAATCAACCTTGCAGATGTTAGCTTCATCCTTCTGGTCCTGAGCTGAGCACATTCACTGAATATTAGAGATAGCTTTACTTTATCTTATCTGATTACATGACAAATTTTCTAGGTAAGGGAACTGCAACTATCTATCTAGGCTTCAGTAAAACATTTGATACAGTGCCACATGGCAAATTATGAGTTCAACTGTAGAAGGCTGAGACTAAGATAAGAACTGTTAAGTGGCTCAGGGGGAGATGAAATAGTTCCGGCTAAAAGGGGAACAAGTAGTTTGGAAGGAGATTTCTAGTGGAGTTCCTCAAAGATTAGTCTTGGGGCTCATCTTATTTAATATTTTCAATTAGGACCTTAGCAAAAAATGTCAATGATGGAAGTTGAGCGGTATCATCACTACAAAAAAGGACTGGAATATCATACAGGAAGAACTGAATGATCTTGAAATCTGAAGCAATAAAAATGGAATGAAATTCAACAGTACAAAGGGCAAATCATGTTCTTAGAGACCAATAATGAGAATTTCTGCCCAAAACTGAGGCTCCATTTGTAACTGGAAACAACAGAAAGGAGAAAGAGAAGGAGGAGGAGAAAGAACCAGATTTATATGTCAATAAAAATAAGATTGAGCCACCAATGTACTGCAGCCATTTAAAACAAGTAAAAGTAATCCTACACTCTACTAAACGCAGTATTTTTCACAGAGTCAGGGAAGTCTTAATGCTGTTGTCCAATGCAATGGTGAGACTTCACCTGGAATAATGCACAAGATACTGGTCTTCCATGTTCAAGAAATAAAAAGATATTGAGAAGGAGAGATATGGAGAACAATTATTAGGATAATCATGGCAATGTAGACCTTATCTTTTTGCAGGAGACAGAAAGGCCTTGGTTTACTTAGCCCAGGACCCATTTGTATCAGGACCTATTTGTAAACATTGTGGCGGGGACAAAAGAGCCACTAAGCTGTGGGGACCCAGCAGCAACAGTGCAAGCCCCACACCACAGAGCTGGCCGGTGGCATCAAAGCACACCAAGCCACGGGAGCATGGTGGCAACAGGATCGCCATCCCATGAGTGCCGCTGGTGACCCCGCAACATGCAGAGCCATGGGGATGAAGCAGCAAGGGTGGGACTGCCACACCACAAACCCTATTGGTGGCAACCCAGCCCACCAAGGACCCCAAGCATGGCAGTGGCAGCAGGTTCACAGTGCCATGAAACATACCGGCAATGCTGCAGCATCCCATGCCATAGGCAACAGGAACCCAGAAACAGGGCAAAGAAAAAAAGCCAGTGACAGCATGGATGCACTTTGAAAGCGTGTGTCAGCACCAATTCACCAGCAGGGGCAGCAGGGCAGACACAAACACCACATGCTCTGAGACAATAGGGGAACTGGAAGGAAGTCCTCAGCAGCTGAGGGAAGGCTCTGGTGGGAGTGGAGATCACCAGAAAGATAGCTGATGGCAGCCTCCCAGTGAGGAGCTGCTCCCACAAACTGACTCAGAAGAGTCAGCATATTTACCTGAGGAAGAGACCTGGAAGTCCAGCTGGGGAGAGGGCAGAGAGGACAGAGGCAGACCTACAAGTCAAGATGAGACCAATGACTGGTAACAATACTGTGTCCGTGCAACACCAGAGTAACAATGGGTTGGTGCTAGGTTGGGTGTAGGGGATGTGGATCCCCACTATCCTCGCACTAACAAGTCACCCTAGCATGACACCACTGAGCAGGGAGTAACAACAATCCTCAAGATTAAAATTCCATCAAAGAGGTGGCAGGTGGGAAGCATCCGTGGTCTAGGTAACTGGTGCCAGGGACAAACTGTTGGCCCACAGGACCGCTGTTAGCTCTGGGCAGCAGGAAAAGCCTAAGCAGGGAACTCAGAACAGGCATGACAAGTTACAACATTGATGGCCAGTACCAACCTAGAAAATAGTTTAAGTAGAAAACAGCCCCCTGGCCCTGCCGGTGCCCCTCACTCCCAACCAGCTGCTCCCCTAATGTATGGGGCAGGGGGTGTATGTGTCAGGCATGGGGGGGCCCAAGTAGCCCCTCACAGGCTGGAACCCTAACAGCCCACAAGGAAAAACCCAGTTTCCCACATTTTTCTCCTTTAAAAGAAAATCCTTTTTCGAAGTTTGTTGATTTATTTTTATAGTTTGTTCATGCCCCTTTCATATATTCTTGCAGCCCACTTTTGGGTCAAGATCCACAGGTTCAGAAACACTGACTTAGCCTATGAAAACAAAAGCTGAGATGGAACATGGTTGCTCTCCATAACTATATCAGGGTAAGAAATACCAGGGAAGGGAAGTATTCTATAAAGCTAGTTGGCACAAGAACAGGTAGAAAAAAGTGACCACATACAATTAAGGTTCTAATCACCCATGGAGTGAAGAGTGGAAGGAAAAAAAGATCTATTCAGTGACACAGGAGATTCCTCTTCCTATGTTCTATGCAATTAGAATTCTGCATAACAGAATTACCTCAGCATTTCATGGGATTTCCATGTACTTTTTTATTAGTTGCTGCTTTTAACATAATCACTTTTATTTTCTCTCTAGTTTTTTTTTTCTGCTACATAAATCAAATTATTGTATCTAGGTGCATTGGGAGAAAACTTATTATAGCATACCCACATCTTTTTTGAATTGGAGCTTACTATATTACATGTTTGTACTGCTGTTGTTCAAGCAATAGCATTACACTGGTATTTAACTGGGGCATGCAGTATCGATTCAGTTCCTTAAGTTCTAGGTTTTGTCAGCATTACACAGATAGCCCTGATGATTAGGCCTGAAAACTCAGGTTAGCCTAAGATGACTATGAGCACTCACAAAACAAAGTTCTATCCACTTTACTGTCCTCACACTTTGTACTCTTACAAAACAAAGTTCTATCCACTTTACTGTCCTCTTACTTTGTACTCTTCCCTGCCTGTATTGGAGTACTTCCTCCAAAGTTATTTATGCATAGACACACACTATGATTCTTTCCCAATGAATTGCAGCCATTATGGAAAGACTTGGGGGAGTTGTGGCAAGGGCCTAGGAAGACCATCAGCTTGTCCTCATTTTATTTCAAAGTAATCAAGTTCCAGCCTGAAGTAAAGCATAGCCTGGGTTCTTACCCATAATGCCAAATAGGCAACCATGATTCAAAGCATGAAAGAACACATGCATGTTTTATGAGAAGATTTAGGCAAAAACTTGTGTAGGAAAACAGTATCAGGCAATATTGTAGACATACTGTTAATATGACATCATCCCATTCAAGAAGATGTTTTATTATGATTTTTAATGGCATTAAATTGGAAAAGTACAAATTTTTAAACAATAAATATAACAGGCATTATTTCTTTTTAAAAAACTATTTTCCTCCAAGTAATTTGACAAATACTTCTTGTTAATTTTCTTAACTGATGTATCAATTGTGATACATTGTGACAGAGCACAGGTTGTGCCTGTCACTCAAAAGTACTTGAGCAGGCAGTAAACAGCCTGCAGGTGAGAGCAGGCCCAATCAGGCAATCACATGTAAAGCAGGAGGCTGCCCGATTGGTGGAGAGGGCTCGGGGCCTGCATATAAGGCTGGCCCCAGAGCAAAGTAAGCAGTTGCTGCAGGGGGTAGAAGAAGTAACATCACCCAGCTGGCTCTTTCCAGAATATCTTGGAGGTACAGGGCAGGAACTATAGAGATAGTGGTCCTGGAGCATGACCTAAAACTATACCCTGTTGGGGAGGATGGTGTGGTGAGGCTGCTTGTGGCAAGGCAGCTTCCAGGAAATGCCACACAAGTACTTCCCTAGTGAACAGTGAGTATGGGGCACCAGAAAGCCTCAGCCCTCACTGCCACTAGGAACATGGGGGACCAAGAGGGTTTAGAGGAGGGCAGGGAGCCCAGGAGAAAGTGAGGGACTAGGAGCCTAGAGTTGCTGAATTGAGCCCCTAGTGTGGGTGGTATGATAGAATGCCCCAGTATGGGGGCACAGGCATTTCTAGGCCAGGTGAGGCCAAGTCTAGGCTGGGTGAGGTTGAATGACAGCCCACTTAAGGAGCCAGGGTGTAATGATGTATATTAGGCCTGTGCAAAGTGGCGAAATCATTCGATTTGGATTTGACAGATTCATGGGGCAGTGATTTGAATCACTGTCCCGAATTGATTCGGCCGAATCTGATTTGGAGATTTGGCTGCTGTGAATGGGCCAAATCTCTGAATTAAACAGGCCCCATCCCAGCCCCATCAATGACTGCCCTGTCCAGCCCCAGCATCCCTGCTTTTTTTTTTTTTTTTTTCTGCTGCAGCAGCCATTGGGGCATCTGGGGGCTTGTGGCAGAGCCCCCCCATACAGCACGGGGCAGTGCAGGGCAGTGGGGATCGCCCCCCTCTCTCAGCCTGGCAGAAGCCAGTGAGTGCAGGGATTTTTTTTTTTTAAGTCAAGATGGTGGGACAGGGTGAGGCAGCCATTGACAACTGGGAGAGCAGGCAGGGGTCAAGGAGCACTTGGGGGAGGGGGGGCTGGAGGAGCAGGCAGGGGATGGGGCCTGGCAGGAGTCCCCACCATGGTCCCCTCCCCCCTCTTCCAGTGCATCCCTGCCCCACTCCTTATTTACTGGCACTGAGTCTGGGTCCAGCTCCCTGCAGTGGCAAGTGGGGACTGCCAGAATCTCTGAGACTCTCAAGTTCTCCGAATCTTTTCCGAATCAACTTGGAGAGCTTCAAATCAATTTGAACCTTTTTATTGGTCTCCCAATTTGATTCCGATTCAGAGATTCAGCTGCCAAATTGGGCCAAATCTCCTCCAAATTAAATTGGCATCTGAAAATTTGCACAGTCCTAATGTATATGAATGCCAGCTGCAGGGCATGGGACACGGTATAAAGAGTTTAGGAGCCATACATATGCCCTTGGCATCAACACAATTAAATGAGCAGCCTCCCACCTGGAACCAACATAATCATACATCAGAGGTGTGACAAGTGAGGCAGGTGGGTGGTTTGCCCTAGACAAGTGGGTGGGCCAACATCTAGACTGGCCCTGGGACACCCACTTGTAGAACACTTAAGTAACAAGTATTCAGTATTGCTATCTGAGTTGTGAAACAGCAAATAAGTTTCATGGTATTGTTTCTATACTTCGACTGGATAAGCAAGCAAGCAATCATTTTGGTCATAAATATGCACACACGCAAATTAAGCCAGTTTTCTGTAAATAGCCATGTGTGATGCTTAGAGGTGTGCTCTTCACAAATATTCTGATCAAGAGATTCTATTAGATGAATATTTATCAAAAGCCAGCATTAAGGTGGCAGCTAGATGGAAAGAACGTTCTTTGAAATATTTCAGTTCATATTGGGACATTTTGTGTGCTATGGTTGTTCTGTTCTCAGCACTGATCCTACATCACAATTTATACAATGCTCGAGGGAATCCTGTGAAACATCTCTGTATTATCATGGAGTAATGGTTGCTTCAGTGCAATAGTGAGACTTTTATTACCAAAATGCTCTAGACCTCTGTATCTTTGTTATCCATTTAGAGCTGGTTCTGCAAACATAAGCATCAATGGGCATATCTACACAAGATGTTTTACTGTGGAGCTGACTTTTTAGCTCTGCAGTAAAGCATCACCATCTATATGTATGGCACTATTAGGCCACAGTAAGCTAATTAACTCCACTGTAGGATTGTGCTGCCAAACAAGGACTAGCCTGCAGCAGTGTAGTTATGTGAGGCAATACACCTGTTTGGACAATGATGGGCTGGCTAGGGCACAAGGATGCTTCAGCACAGAGTCAGCCTGCCAGATAGTGTCCCACTGTAGCACACTTGCACCCCCTACCCAGCCCCTCCACAGCACATTAGAGCCAAAGCAGAGCAGACCTGGGCTGGCCAGAACCCTGCTAGCTGGCATTGCTCTGCCCCAGCTCAAGTTGCTGCAGTCCTGGATGCATGTGTAAACACTACATCTGGGAGCAATAAACTGGTGCAAACTGCACTTGAGTGTATTGCTATATGTTAACTGCATGTGTAGATATGCCCAATAACACTTAAATACTTAAGGTGAGTATCTTTATCAGTAGGGCTACTCATGGGAGCAAAGTTCTACAAGTACTTGATTGTCTATACTGCCTCTGCTTGCGGAACTTGCCAGCAAGCAGAAAGTGCCATTTCCAAGTGGCCAGAGCATGTACGTTGCCTCTGGCAGTTCTTTGTGGCTCCACTTAGCAGCCCTATCAGCAGGGCACAACATGCAGGCTGCAGTTGCCAAAAGGAATATGGCAGCCAGAAGAGATACAGGAGTGCTTACACATGGCTTCTGCCAGCTGAAGAAGCTTTACTCCTCTTATCAGGTGGGGTAATTCTGCTGACAAAGGAGGGATTTGTTGCTGCAGTGGAGCTTTAGTCAAAGCCTTATCAACAGGGACAGCAGAACCTTGTGGTGTAGAATACTTGCCACATCTGCAGGGCCAGGGCTTAGATTACAAATTAGTCTGTTCCTTTTACAGCACTGGGGATTCTGTTAACAACAAACAAATACCTGTCATATCTTTCCCAGAGCTGTACCTCATTTTTCACCACTGTCTTCATCTATAGGCCAGTATGTTCTTTTCACAAATGAGGAAGAATTTGCAACCATCTCTCTCCCATCTTTATGCATAATTAGCCCCTACTGGACTATGGAGAACACAAGTATCGTACCAGCTTGCTGCTGCCATTACCCCTAACTTAGCCTAGATCCTTCTGCCTAATTTTTATGATCAGGAATTGTAACAGGGCCCTACCCTGTTACTAGGGGTTCGGTGGAGTCTGAATAGCCCTACACCCCAGACCTGGGAGAACTCACTAGAGGCTGGGGAACCAGGTCTTGGGATGTAGTGATTCCCTCAACAGGGGAGCTGACAGGTGTGGGGAGTGAGAGAGGGTTAGCCACCTGAGCCCAGAGTGGGAAGGATAAAAGACTAAAAGCAGCCTCAAGTGGCTGCACCTGGCCAGGGAGCAGGCTGTCCGGAACTACCAAGGATTAAGCAGCCATTGGGAGAGCCTGGAGCAGGGCTCTTCTCTGTTTTGTTTGTTTGATCATTTGCTTGCACAAGCCCACAGGCTCTACAAAGCCTCTGAAAGATGAGAGGCAGCCAGAAGGTGAAGTCTGGAAAAACCACTGGAAGACGGCTAAGTGCTAGCTTTTTTGTTTAACTTCTTTTGTTTGTTTTGCATTGCTCACAAGCCTGGAGTATCCTCTGAGTTTTATCTACTAGCCTGGCTGCAGCAGGCAAGGGCCCTGAACAGTGAGTCCTTGGCCAAAGCCCACAGCAAAAGTAAAACTGGTCAGCTCAACTAGGTTGACCAAACATACCCTGCTGTGATCTGCTCAGACTCTACCCATAGCAGCCTACAGGAATGCACTGCATTCAGTCATTGCTGTGATTGCAGCTCCTGTAGCTAGCTTGGGAAAACCTGAGCTAGCTTCTAGCATTTTACATGTGGCAACATAGGGACTGTGAAAACCACCTGAGAAATTGTGTAGATGACAATCACTACTAAACTCTGCACAAGTGCAGTTACATAACTATCAGTGGCCAATACAGATGACTTTACAGCAGAGGTTGGGTATGCCTGTATCCATTGCAAATCTCAACAAGCAGAGATCCAGTTTAGAGGCATTCTGGCCAATGCTCCTGCATTGTTCCTCCTAACATCTTCACAATATGGCTAATGGCCTACAACCACAATCTGGAGCTATAGCACTTCTGCTTCATTTTTCCCCCCCCCCCCCCCAGAACTCAGGTGTTTGACCCTAGGAAGCAGAAGCTATGGACAAATCACCCTCCACCTTACCATTCTTTTCATTTTCATTGTTCACACCTAACTTTGAGGTGCAGAGCGTAAGCTTGCCATACCTTTACATTCCATATTCCTGCAGGTGTCTGTGGTAGTCTTAAATAACAGAGAATACAGGATCAGATCAATCTTCTAAATCAGTTTTCTTCTACATTGGACCTGATCACACTGGGAGTTTTTGCCTCTGTGTCTTACTTTTTTTAGTGATTTCTTTTGTCTTTAAATTTTCAGAGACTTGTCAGAACAGAAGCAACACAAAATAATAAAAGCCTCCAGTGGGAATAAAGTAGTTTTGCAAGCGGAACAATTGGAGAATTACATGTTGACATCTTCATATCCATTAGTAGGCTTTCTTCACCTGATAGAACTGTCTAGAGGTAAAAATTAATTTTTTATACCCTTTTCAAGTTTCTCTTACCTCTGAGCTACTAGTATTATGAATTAATATATTAATTTTAAAATAAAAGTATCTTGTATATTACTATGTCACAGATTAACTGCTTTAGATTAATTACTTAAAATCCCAGATCAATACCAGAATGCTTGTGTATTCTTTACAGGTTGCTTATACATATATATATTTTTAAAAGCAAACAGATTAAAAACACACTTCTTTTACCTGCCAAGACCTGATTTCAGGCTTTTGGGATTCTTCAACAGAGGACACTGTCAGTTTAACAGCTGCAGCGTTCTACTTCTGTAGGTGCTAATGATGTGATTCCCTCTTAGAGGAAAACCAGAAAACTGTGCGCTCATACCTTGATGGAGCCATAAGTACAGGTCTGAGTAAGATTCACCAATATGTAATGACTGTTTTTTACCTACTCTGGCTGCATCTACACATGTGCTTTACTGTACATTAGACTAATTAAGTGTGGTGTGAAACATCACCATCTACACATGAGGTGGTATTAGGCTGCAGTAAACTAATTTACATTGCAGTAAGATAGTACTGTCAGGGACAGTCTGATTTTAGACCAGGCTGATTTACTGTGATTAAATACACATGTAGACTCTCACCATGGGCATAAATTGCACCTGGTCAGCCCAGCTAGCAGAGGGTCAGACTCCTACCTGTTGCCTAGCCACACAGCTCCACACTTTCAGCATCTTTGTGCCCTGCAGCCAGTCCCTCCACCTTCTGGACACCATCACCTGAAGCCAGGGTTTGAGCAACCTGGCATAAAATGCTCCTCCCTTGCTCAAGTTGCTACTGCCCTGAACACGCATGTAGATGCTACACCCAAGAATAGCTTACTCTGGCTCAAGCTGCTTCGGAGTTTATTGCTCCAAATTAATCGCATGTGTAGATGTACCCTCTGAGAACATAAAGAAGCTGTAAACCTGACTGATCTAGCCAGTTGAGAAGCAAGACTGATTGCTTTGCAACCCTAACTTGGTGCTCTTCAACCATAACATGCTAGGAAATCTGGCCTAGTACTGTTTCCTATAAGATCATTGTGCTTGTATATGATTTATATAATCCAAAGAAAAATGCTTTTGTAAATCCAAGCATTTTTATATAGCTATGTAGGTGAGAGAGATTATTAAAGAGCATATTATTCACAGTCTAGTAAAGAGGGAAAAAACGTTAGTGTAAGCTCACTCAGATTATCTAGTGATCTCACAAAGCACCTTGACATCAGGCATATGTTCTAACTGAGTTGGGTGCCATTATGGTCACTTTCTTGGCTGTGTAGTTCCAGCCAGGTGGCTTTCACATATCCTGCTTTATTAAAGTTCTTTTGCCAGATAACACCTGTTACAAGCCACACTCAATTTTTAAGTATCAAAATACTGCGCTTGTCATCATTTCTGCCTATAGTGCAAGCTATGTCACTGACAAAAAATTATGATAATTTCTTATTGAAATAATAATTCTCCAGAGGAGAAGCTAGATCTGGAACCAGGGAACCTGAGCACCCTAGCTAAAGAAATTCTGGGAACCAAGGGGGAATCTGACTTTGTGCTCCACACCCCTCAAAGTTCCCCTAGACCCAGGTCTCCTTGTCAGGAAGGCACCTCAGAGGAATTGTGGAGGCAAATGGCTCAGCTGAGTCAGCTCTTCCTGTTGTTGTGCCTCTGCCTGCTGAAGAGAAGGGTAAGGCAGGATCCCTGCCCTTAACCCAGAAGTGGGGGAGTAGTGTAGTGTGGGATCATTTTGAGGTGGCAGATGATCCCAAGTATGCTATCTGCCAACACTGCCAAAGGCAGATCAGCCGGGGCAAGGAGGCAGAACACTTCACCACCACAGCGATGCTGCTGCATCTGAGGAGGCAGCATCCCCTTGCCCTTCTTCCTTCTCAGCCTGGCACCAGTGGGAACATGCCCAAAGAGAATTCCCCCACTCACTCCAAAGCTCCCATCCCCCCCAAAGTAGAGGCAGGCCACCCTGGAGCACTGGGAGAAAGCTGCAGACAAAATGGAGTGCGTTGCAACGGCGAGCATGATCACCCGGAGAATCGAGGAGATGTTTGCTCTGGATGGCCAGCCCTTCTCCTTAGTTGAGCATCCAGGGTTCAGGCAGCTCATGGCGCTCATGTCCCCATCTTACCAAGTGCCCACATGTACCAGCTTTAGCAGGATGGTAGTGCCCTCCCTGTATGAGGCATGCAGGGAGTACTTGAGGGAGGAGCTGCCATTAACAAACTGGCAAAGTAGGCTGTAGCCTATGAAATCTCATGCCATTCTGAATGTGTTAGCTTATCAGATGTCACCCTTCTCTGCCTTCTTCAGAAGAAAGTGTCAGTGGCAAACATTTTTGAGTGGGGCTGATTGGTGTTCTGCAGGCATATTAGAGGAATGCAATGGAGGTCAGCTGACTTGCATCAGCATGCTTGGATATCACCTCAATTGCTATTGTTCCCCTTGTCTCTTCAAGGACAATTATGTAATCTACATTACCATAGCATTTTATCTTTGCCATTGTGCCCTTTCTTTTTGGTTTCTCCCTTACTGTGCTCCAGTTTAACTCTATGCATCCAGGAAACAGAATAATTACACAAGTAAGGAGAAATGTATGTGAGATTTATCCTCCAAAACTCCCTCATTTTTTCTACAAGTATAGGCAAAATCATTAAATTGAGAAATGGTTAAGGTGGTGGTAGGGAGTCAGGATCAATAATTTCTCCCCCTGAAAGAAGCCCAATTCAGGGGGGGGAATTATCAAAGGAGAACCATGTAAATTTCTCAGTGAAAAAAGACTGGGCTTCTTACTAACCCTGATCTACAAAGAAGACAAAGGGTGTTTATTCATCTTCATGGTAATAGCAAGAGCCACAACCATTGAGGAAGTAACTTGGTGGACTGGTTTGCCTTTGCATTGCAAAAGGACATGCTTTCAACTGTGGTGCTTAAATGAGGGCCAATGTTGTACCACAAAATTGCTGTGATGAATCCAGATGAGAATGAGGGATTGCTTGCAGTAATAAAAGATTGCTTGACATGGCTTTAAATCCACAAAACTAACCTCATTCCTTGCCTCTCACAGGGTGACTGAGCAGCAGGAGACCACACGAGGTGACACATTTTTAAAGTGTGCTCAAGAATCTGAAAATAACATGACCCTGGTTATGGAAAATAAATAGAAAATGAGTAATTTTTAAATTTTATTTCTTTGATTTAATTGCTGGAAAAATAAAATAGGCAGTATAGTTTCCTAAACCACAAAGCTTTGCCACAGACCATCTCATCTTTGTGCTGGTATCCAAATACAAAAGGCATGGGATATCCCCCGCCCTTCATCTCTTTGGGTGGTAACTTGTTATTCAGTCCATGGAAAATAAAAGGAACAGATGTAAAGAAACAAAACTGTCCTCCTTTATTTTACAGGTCAGATGAGACAGACCATCCCCACAGAAGAGATACCCCTAATGAGGGTAGTAATATAAGTGATTAGCAACTATACTGTGGTTAGCACAAATTAACACTTTGGTTTGAAGGAAAATCAATGAGGAAATATGTAGTGAAAGATCAGGCATGTCTGAGGAGTCTTAACTGAGCACAGAAATGTGGCTGGACACTCTTTATCAATGTGTAGTCCACCTGTTAATAAGAGTAGAAGAAATCCTAGATATGGTCACATTCATCTTAAAACCAAATTGTTTTTCAGAGACCAGACATGTCCTGAATTGAGTGAGTTAGACTGCACACAGTCATGGGATCACAGGCATATTTTAGCAGAACATCACAGGAAGAGACAAAGATTACCACAAGACTGCATAATCCATAAAATACTAAAGAGCAGAAGGAGTAAGCATCATTTGAACTCTACTTAATCAAGCCAATCAGTAATAAAAAAGCAGTTACTAGGGATGTGTGAATCAGGCACTATTTGATTCAGATTGAGCCCAAATCAGGGACAGTAATTCGATTTGTTGATTCAGATCACTGTCCCTGATTTGATGCAGCCGAATCCGAATCTGAAGATTCGATGCTGATTTGGAGAATCAGCAATTTGGCCATAGACCCAGCTTTAAAAGTTTTTTCTACATACCTCGAGGTACCCGCACGGCTTCTGAATGCTGCAATGCTGGAATGCATGGAGCGTCCCACAGGAGTGTGGGGGGGGGCCTCCACGTGCTCGGCGGCAAACCCAGAAATGGACCAAAAGTACTTCCAGGCCACTTCTGGATCCACCAGGGAGTGCGCAGGGGGGCACCCCATTCTGCCCCTGGCTCAGCCACTGGGGGACCCTGGGTGCCCCCCTAACCCAGGAGGCACCAGTTGCCAAGCCAGAGGGTGTGGGGGGAGGGGGGCCTCCCACGTGCTCCCTGGCAGGCCTGGAAGTGGAGCAGAAGTGCTTCTGGTTCACTTCCAGGTCTACTGCCAAGTGCACTGGGGAGCCCCCTGCACTGTTGTTGGATACTCCATGCGCCCCAGCATCACAGCATTCACAAGCTGCCTGCTACCTAGAGGTATGTAGAAAAAACATTTAAAGCTATGTCTATGTCCAAATCTCCAAATCTTTCCGAATCTCTCTGAATCGATTCAGAGAGTTCTGATTCAATTCAGAGAGATTAAAGGGTCCTCTGATTCGATTTGGATTTGGAGATTTGGCCACCGAATAAGGCTAAGTCTCTGCCGAATTGAATCGGGGACCAAAGCTGCGCACAGCCCTAACAGCTACCTTGAATTTTGTTTTAAACAGGTCTCCTGGGAATAATACTATAATCAAAGTAAGATGGAAGATGTTAAAACTGTTAGTGTAGAATGGAGCTGATCGTGTTTCCTATCATTTGGTGGGGGGGTCATATCATTAGCAATCAATCTTACAAAGTCCAGGTAAACATGGGGAATATTCATACATTTCTAAGCTTCATAAACATTTTATATATTGTACTATATATAATCTAGGATATATGTATTTGTCTAGAAATTCATGCCATAAGTGTGTTTTATGCTGGTTGCTCTTTTCATCTTGCAAATGTTTCCCTGAAACAATTAATGAGAAGAAAATAATATTTGACATGGATAATGCAAAGAACAAGGAGCAAGCACATGAACTGAACAGTTTACAAATCCCATTGATTTCCTATTCCTGTAAGAAAAAATATTCCTAATGAATATTATTAATAGTAAATAGCTGCACAGTATTTTTCTTCAGTAAGAGGTGGACTATTTTAAATTCACAGATGCCTTGTAGAATCAAGGAATAGTAGTAATAGAAGAGACCTTTGGAGGTCATCTAATTCAGCCTTCTATTCAAGGCAATATTGTCCCTGTCTAACCTAGATTTCCCCTGCTGCAATGAAACTATTTCTCCTTGTTGTATTCCATGTGGCTATACAGAATAGTCTATCACCATCCTCCATATAGCTATCCTCAAGGTATTTGAAGACTGTTGTCAAATCTTCCTTGGTCTTCTCTTCTGCACACTAAATCCTACTTCTTTCAGACTATCTTCATAAGTCAAGTTCCCCAGGCCTCTAATCATTGTGTCTATTATATGCTGAGTTTTTAAAACTGTGCACGAACAGTTTATTTGTGGTCCTGATTTGCACTTGGATGCAAGCAGACAAACCATTTGTGTGTATGTAAACAGGAAATTGCATATTGTGTGCGCCATCATAGTAACCATGACGAAATGCAAAAATCTAAGACTCTTGGTTCCAAAATGATACTTTTTATTAGCCCAAATGAGAAATAGCAAAAAAAATCTTTTCTGCAAGCTTTCAGGCTCATGCACCCTTCATCAGGCTCAGGGAAAGTTCAAGATGGTAAAAAGTCCCCATACGTAGGAAATAAACTTCATTTTTGCCACAGAGGAAGAAGAAGCTGGAAAACTGTCCCTCTGGGTCCATGAGAGTCTCTTTGTGAGCTTGCTCTTTGTTGTGTAGATCAAGCAGGATTTCTTCCCTGGTGGTGTCAGATGGCAGGGAGGGAGGTATAGAAATCTTTCTTGTTGTTTAGCAGTGAAGTTTATATTCCAAGATTGGCTAAAATTCAGCATCTACCACGTTTCAGGGATGTATGTGGTAGCCATGTTGGTCTGAAACAAAAAGAAAGAGAAAATCTAGAACTCTTGCTTCCAAAATGATACTTTTATTAGACCAACATTTTTTGCAATTTCTCAGTTGCTCTAATAAAAGGTATCATTTTGGAACTGGGAGTTCTAGATTTTTGCATTTCTTTGGGTCTCAGACCAACACAGCTACCAAATACATCCTTATATCATAGTAACCATACATACAAATTAGAAATGCAATTCTGTTCTTGCCTTTTTGTCCTGAATTGTATATGAACTATTTTAAGTCAAGGCCTAATAAGCCAAGTAAAGACAAGCTTTATTAAGGTTACGAAAGTAGTTTTAAAATGTAGCCATGGTTAAAACATTCCTTTTCTTTAAACAAAACAATGATCCATCAAAAAGTTAATTTGGTTACTAAGCATCTGAAAAATTATAATTGATCAAAAGGCAATGCTGGAAAAGGAGATGTTTTTCTTACATGTAACAAAAAAAAAATGTTTGTGGCTTTTTTGTCACTTCCTTCCTAAAAGGAACCAAAAAAACTATAGCATTTGACACATATTTCAGTTACTTGTTTGCTACGTTCCTTGTCACCACACAGCTAAATCATAAGCCTGTAAACTTACTTTGTTTTAGCTTTTTTGAATGTCTTAGCATTCCAGTCATCAACACCCTCTCAAAAAGGGTATTTTAATTTAAGAACTGTTTAAGATAAGTGGTTAATTTGAACTAACTCAGGACTGTGGATCTTGGATAATTTATTTCAGAGATGAATAGACAGAGTATTTTGGAAAATCATGTATCTGAAACTTACTTGCAATAGGATAGTTGGATTGAGAGCGGGGGAGGGAGAGGAGAGAGAGCAGATTTTTAGCTGAAAGTGGTCATTTTAATTAACTGGGGGCAGTTTGAGTCCATAGATAAATCATTGGACTGAAGCTGTATTTGCATAACAAATGGTTGAGCTTCATGTGTTGAGTGATACTGAAAGACTTTTCACTTTTTGGTGTTGAGTGATACTGAAAGACTTGAAACCTTATAAAATACAGTTTTCTAAATATTTCCCAGTGGCCAAGGAAGAAACTGCAATTACTGCAACAAGCTTGTTCCCTAGTGAAAGTTGTCTCATTTGGTTTTTGAAAGGCAACAAAAATCTTTGAAGTGATTAGTAGAGTGAGTGTTAGCACAGACTCATCCTGGACCAACCATTCTAACAGATATACCTGGATAACGTCATGATTTCTGGAACAGAATCATTGTGCACCATTGACCACAGACCTGGAACATGCAGTTGTAAATCTGAAAGCAGCCAACTTCAAATGAAAATCAAGAAATGTACAGTGCTGTCTTCTGCTGCTTACAGTTCCTTCCTCTTCCAAGTTGTGCATAAAATGGACACTATCATCACTCTGGGGAAGGTACCTGCTGTCACTCTGAATAGCTCAGGCATGCCAGCAATCAAGACATACAGTAAAGTTTCCAATATGTTAGAGCTTAATTAAAAGTTTAGAACTGTGATTTCCACAAGGTCATCCAATTATTTTGTTTAAGTTGACAGAGACAAACTGTCTGATAAAACATTATTCTGAAATCCCTCCACAGCTAATTAACCTAGGGTGAAAACATCATGGGTCATTCGCAACTCTTGGTTACACCTGTATTTGTACAGATGCCATTGGAGTTACTCCAGATGTAAATGTTATTGTAGCTGACAGTAGGAATTTGCTCTATGTGGCCCTGATCCAGCAAAGGACTTAACTGTAAATTACAACCAAAAAAAATGAGTCACTTACTATCAGAGAAGGAGATACATGAGAGTAAGCTGCAGGACTTATTATAAAGGATGTCTCAAAGATGCTTACAGCCTTGCCTTGTATTGTTTTTTTAACATTACGATATAGGAAACAAAATAAATAACATGTGGATAACAATGTCCCACAAGGAAGATAAGTATTAACAAATTAAGACTGTCTAAATAAGGTAAACTACTTTGAAATCCTTGTATGGAAAATACTGCACAAAAGCAAGGCTTCTCTTTTTAGTGTTTTGTAAATACTATGTGAATATGACCACCTCAGAAAGTGATTGTGAATAAGAAAACCCTTGCCCC